ATCGGACAGCCAATGGTGCGTTTAACCGTGAAATCCAGAGATAGGATATCCTCTGATATTGATAGCAGGTATCTTTAAACCAGAAATGTTTTGGGATTCTATTGAAGATAAAACTGGGGTGGATAAACTGGACGCGACGCATCAATTGCTCAGATAATATAGAGTTTTGTGGAGCCAATTTTTGGTTTGCGATTTTATAGTAATTTTATATTATATTTATGTATTCCTAGGGTGCATTTTGTAAAGTTAATTTTATTTGATACTCTATTTTTGGATTAGTTTTTCAGGCGAAGGTGCTTATTAACCTCTAAGTACCACCGTTCTGAACGGGTGATTACTAAATGTGATTTTAAAACAATGTAACATCTTTACTGTCATTTCAAAGGTGAGTTACCTATATGGTGATATAATACTAAACTACGAATAAAATATTCAAAAATAAATAATCTTAAATTGTTTAACTTTCTTCTTATTAAATCAATTACAGAGATGAATTTGAATACCATATTCAATAAACTGTTTCCACACTAGCGTTCAACCAATAAAATAAATGTTAAATAGATAAATTACTTCATGTTAAGCTCACCAATAAAATTGTGGTCGACAATTACTTACCGTAGTCGAATTTCGGTTTCAACATCAGCTGCCTATCGAGCGCTTTCACTCGATTAATCTCGCTGTGGTCGACCCGTTGTGGTGCGTCAGACATGTCCATGTTGATATAGTCGATGTAGTATTTATCGATATTTGTATTAATCGATACGAATATTCGATACTTAAAGAAAATAAATCGACAAAATTTTGAAACTGTTTTGCACTACAGCATTAGAAATTGAATTAACTAAAGGTATCAGCTTGAAGCGCTACAAGATCTTGTAGAAAATGATCTTCAGAATTTAATTCAGAAAAATTAAATGAAACATTTTTGTCTGTGTAGCATAAGGCTTATTGATTTATTTGCGCTACTACGGTAGGGGTTGCGGGCTCGATCCGCGCACAATATTATACATTTTGTGCATAAACTTAATTACCCAACCTAGCTAGCTGTCTGTATTGGTTTGAATGTGTTCTGGTATGTAGGTAGTTGCGTTGTGGTGTAAGTAAAAAATACTATTGTAATTATTGTACCTATCCTAAGCTTTTCTCAGTTTGAGCTTTGCAATGTTAAATTGTCTAAGGATTCGTTAATTAATGAAAATAATACTAAGTTATTATAACGTATGTAGAGTCACTTGAAAAGGGTCGTCAATTATGTCAATACTTACCTATTAAAATATTATACAGTCTTGCGCACAAAAAGGCCATTTAACCCATTAGAGGTCACACACAAAGTACTAATATATTTTAAACTTTTTCTTTATTTTCATATTGAAATTAGAGCAAAAAAACACAAAATACAAGAAAATCCTGAAAAAAAGTTGTTTTCATGAAATTACAGGGGTGTACTCAATTGGGTATGCAAATTTTCAAAATGCGCCTTTTCGACAAAAAATGTTTTAAGTGACTTCTTACACTACCAACGCACTTTTAAATGACAAAGAATATACCCCAGCTCTTTTTCAGTTTTGATGGGATATTTTCCAACTCATTTTTGAAGAAAAGCCATCAACTATTGGTACAGCCGGACGCATTTTCGTTGTTTATATAGCATATCTCTTCATCTAGTGACCAGTAAAGTATAGTAGGTACATAGTCTCTCAAGGTAGCTTGTGGTACTCACATAGTACCAAAACCCCTAAATAGGGCTTTATAGGAATCCCAAATATATTGTGTTGATTGGATACTGATATAATTATAGCCAATATAAATATCATAATGATAATGAGAAGCATCGTAGTTATCTATTGGATATAATAATAATATTATAATCAGCTTTTTTCAAATACTGTGCAAGTTTGAGGCCCTTCAGCTCTTCATAAAATATAGCAAACTTATCACCACAGACTTCGGAAGTAGGTATCTACAGTGATTGAAAAATTATGACTTTTGATTGGGTGCGGATTTGTGGGAACCTATCGGCTTATTTTTCACGCCAGTGGTTCATTATCACTGTCGTCCTATAAACTGCCTTTGCTGCCACTATCCCTTCTGTTCATAAATACCCTTTAGTACGTCTTACGGAATGAAAAACGTCGCCATATCCTCTTTTTCAGTCAACGCACTTGTATCAGGTGGTATAATTATTAGCCAAAATACGTTCATCGTCATAACTATCCTGTAAAACGGCTCCAATAACATCTTCAAGTCCCTTTTAGCTCTTTTGAGCTGTAAAATGTTACGAAAGAGCAAAAAATAAATATAGTTTTTTTACTCACGCATGTTGTCATTGTACCCAACCGAGTACAGTAACTTTTACATGACCCTAGTTTCATTTGAGATGTAAATATTATATTATATTGTGCTTTATGACTTACTCTGATATGTATTCTAAAGTAATTAAACAAAAAAATCGACTTATGAGCAGTAATTGTTATAAAAAAATTAAAAATTAAACACCTACCTCCACTACGTTTCAGTGACACAACTTCAACTGTTACTTTTTATCAAAAAAAGTCCCACTACCCGCGTAATTTTTGTCAATATACTTTAATAGTGTCATAATGACGTAAAATAACAAGTCAACCCATGTTAATTTTGTGAGATTTGTAATTGACACGTAAAAATATAGCTGTACCCATTTGAGTACAGTGACCTCTAATGGGTTAATTTAAAATAAATAACGCCGGTTGCAAGAATGTATCGACCGAGTGAACTTGATATAAAAAATAAAGCAGTCGGTCAGCGGCCCTTAGAACATGTCGCCCCATATGTTGTCAGTGTCGGAGCTCGCACTTTAGAAACTATTATTACAAAAAACAAAATCAATAACTGCCCTTCGGACCGTGTCCGCCAGAAGGTCACAGTCACAGTCACAAATACATTTCTAACTAGCCTCGTATAGAATGCATTGTAAATCACTTTTATAGCTACCATAGTGTTACCGTGACTTTGAAATATAGCTTGGGTGCGTTTTCTACCTGAGAAGGACCATCATTATGGTTCGCGATGATTGTCGGCAGGCCGAAATTATTTTTTTGTTGAATACAACGTTTCTCATTTCTCATAAACGGTGAACTCGAAACAACGAGCTAACTGTTACGGGCCGACATTTGGTATCTATACAAAGCGCCTCAGTTTTTTTTATCGTGGCGGCAAACAAAAAGGTTTAGTAACATCCTTCTTCTTCAAACAAACCACAGATTCTGCGGTAATTAATGATAAGACTCAGAATAGGATGGTTTAATATAAAATGATCTTAAGAGGCAAGATGTTTTCATCCAAAGGTATGTAATTATTAATAATTTACATTAAGAAATTGATTAAGTTACCTACCTACCACCAGAATAATAGTTTGTATGAGTGTGTGTGTATGTGTTAAGTACACTTAGCACAGTGTTTTTTTTGACCCGAAAAAGTGACATTCTGTTTTTATCACTAATATCCAAAGTTTAACTTATTATTAATGTAAGACTAAAACACCCAGGTGACAAATAGCTATAGATTATTTTTAAAAAAATATTTTAGAAAATTTATTTTGTGCTGGGTCAAACTACAATTTTATTATTATTTAAAGACACGTACACACTAAGCTTCTCTTTGCATTGCAGGTAGGTAGGTTGGTGTATGGCGAATATTATTGCACCTATAATTATTTAAAAGTAGTTATAGGAACGACAGTATGATTATTTTTTAAATTTAAGAAATTATTATTTTTCTCTTTTTCTACGCCGAAGTAGAATCTCTGCTTAGGTCAGATAAATTTCTTAAAATAAGCTCTATCACCTAAAATTTTTCTATATTCTAACTCGGCCGCAATTTCGAGAAAAACGATTTTTTCCAAAATGTTAGGATTGTCACAAAAAATTACCTTACGTAGTTCCACTTTCTTTAGGGTTCCGTGGCCAAAGGATGCTAACGGGACATAATTAATATTATGCAAATATAAATACCACTCCTGATGATCAAGAGTCTTCATATATCTTAAAAGATGATGAAGAAACAGTATTCTTGAGCACTGATAGTAATTTTACTTATAACCTACCTAAGACAAATTAAACACATAATAAGGACCGATTAGCATCCTACGCGAATACGCCATACACCAACCTACCTACCTGCAATGCAAAGAGAAGCTTAGTGTGTACGTTTCTTTAAATAATAATAAAATTGTAGTTTGACCCAGCACAAAATAAATTTTCTAAAATATTTTTTAAAAAATAATCTACAGCTATTTGTCACCTGGGTGTTTTAGTCTTACATTAATAATAAGTTAAACTTTGGATATTAGTGATAAAAACAGAATGTCACTTTTTCGGGTCAAAAAAAACACTGTGCTTAGGTATGTGTATAATGTATAAAGGTGAGTATAGACCAAAGCATTTACTTTTAACAGAACAATGGACCGCTCTATGAAATATCTAGTGTCACGAACCAAACGTCATACATTTTACCTAAATTGTACCATTCGCAAAAATGTTACATTACATGAAAATGCTCTAGTCTGTACTCACCATTAAAGGTAAGGTTAGAAACATAAACAGCAAAATAATTTGCAATAATATTTTATTTTAATTTAGTATCTTTAACAATCGACATTTACAGTACATAGTAATACATTTACATACTTTACAGTCAGTTACACAGTCAACGATACATTATTATATTTATCAAGGTGACATCACAAACTATGTAACCAAATACAATTATCTACATATCTACAATCTCTCAACTCNACAATCTTTCAATTCCTACCTAATGACTAGTAAACTATACAGAATACCTATCTCAACAACATCGATTAGTTGCAATATCTATCTACAAAATATTTGGTAACAATGAGATAATATACTATATGAAAATACTTATAAAGTTTAGACACTCATTCAAGATACTGGCAATAACTCTTAATAACTTTAGTACATAGTATGTCAGTCTTAATGGACAGCAATTAATCGTTATTCTTGGTTGTTTTTATAATAAATTATACTCTACACGCTTTACGTTATGATTTACAAGGCTTCAATCTACATCGATACATCTAAAATACATTTAACAACAGTCTTTGTTACATACATGACATTCCCTGTTATCTACGAAGGAACATGTTTAGTCATTACAAAATTTGGCCAAAATTATCTATACCGACACTTTTGTAAAATTATCACTTTTTAATAAGGCAAGGCGAACATAAAAAGCAGCCTACACATGTGCTTGGAATGTGACGTTCCATTAAAAATATCTTTGAAGATAAAGATTGGGACACCTTATCATCTGTGTGTGCCTGAATGGGTTTGCGGTAAGCACTCGTGCACAGACGAGCGTGGCTGCAAGTACCCTTGCTCGTCTAACATAGAAGGGGAGTGGTGACCGGGATGTTTACGCAACGTGTTCGGAGGCCGAGGACGACCACCGTAAGGCTGCTCGTAATTTTGGGTATCAATTGAAATATAACTATGATGCAAATTCTCCCCGTCCTGTATCTGACTCGTCAATGTAGTGTTCGTCAACATAGAGGTGTCGTCCTCGATATTAATCACATTAGTTGTAGTAGGAGTCTGGGGCGGAATCGCATCATACTTATACCAATGCTCAGGCGCAGTAGGCGACGCCGTGTACCTAGACGGGTGCTTACGCGCATTCGGGCACACTGCATCGTGATTGTAATTCATAGTATCTTTATTCCAGTGCAAGTTAGAGATATCAGGCATCCCAAATCTAATTTTATCCCAGAATTTCTTTTCGCCCCATAGTAAAACGTTACAAGTTTTCAAATAGTTCTGAAAGTCTAAATCTAAGTTTAGTGCACTTATATCTGTAGTTAAAATAAACATTATTCTATGTCTTCTAATTGATGGATGTATAGATGTAATTACTTGCTTAATGGCAGTTTTGAATGCAATTTTGGACCACTCATTTTGTAAAAAGTTAAAGGATACAAACATTAAAATTCTTTTAGAAGATTCAGCTGCGTGAGTAATCTGTTCAGATAAGTAACTATCTGGGGCATGTTGTAAGTCCCTGTAATGGAAACACATTGTGTAACCGGAGTGTTCCATTTCAGGCGCTACAACCTTAGACACAAAATCGTCATCTAATAGACTATATAAAGCATATCCATCATACAACCTATCTCTGTCTAGTTCGCTCTCTTGAATAGAAGCGCTTTTAAACAATCTTACTCCATATTTAGAATGCGCCCACAGGCGAACATTTTGTCTGAATGAAAAAGCCAAGGCACCGAACAATAAAATTAAGATTACACTTATTAGTACTACAGCTAAAAGAGGAACAAAGTTCAACTTAATTGCGCTCACTTCATCATACTGATAAGGTTGATTTTCAGTAGGTATGGTATTGTCTGAAACACTAGAATCACGACACTTATCGATCACATCAAACACTGTCAGGTTCGTAATAAGTCCACTGTCATCAGCACAAAACATGTCCGCGGGATCTTCGTAGTTTTTCTTGAACCAGTTTTGTAAGAGTAGCACGTTATCACAATTGCAAGAAAACAGATTTCCTCGAACGTTCACACTCTCCAAGTGCATCAAGTGGGCCAACTTTTTGTCAAGGTTAAGTACCTTATTGCCTTGTAAGTGTGCAACTCTCAGAGACGACAGAGGCTCGAAAGTCCTGTTTGCGACACTTGTCAAGAGGTTATCATTTATGTATAACTCCCTTAAGTGCTTTAGCTGAGAGAATTCACCGCCAGACAACTCGGTCAGTTGATTGTTTTCCAAATGTAGTACAGTCAAAGAATGAAGGCCGTTTAATGTGTCGTTGTCGATAGTTGCTATGTTGCTGTTGTTTAGGTAGAGCTTATGTAATTTCTTTTTGCCAATAAATAGGTGACTACTTAGTGAGCTAAAGTCATTGCCATCAAGATAAAGCTCAGTCGCATCCATCGGGATTTTTTCTGGGATTTCAGTGTAGCCAACTCTGGAGCAGTCAATTACATTTGAGTTCCAATTGCTGTCATGGAAGCATGAACAGCCTTCAGGGCATGTCATTTTACAGTCACATGCTTCAAAATCGCAACAAAAACAGCTCGACGAGCAGTGAGTTTCGTAAGAACAAAGGAACTGATTCTCGGGCACATCCATCAAGTTCGCTTTTCCGCCGTATTTGTTACTTACGACTTCGCACGTGACTGATTCTAAATCCATAAACCGCGGATATTGTCTCATGTGATTCCAAAGATTTATCTTTTGTAGCCAAATCATATGACAGTTACAAATAAATGGATTGTTTCCAATAAAGAATTTGGGCAATAATCTGTGTTTCGGAATGTGGGGCAGAGTAAATGCTGATAGTTCAATGGTTCTCAATTTATTATCCGACATGACAACTTTTTCTAAGTTTCTTTTTTGGATGAAGGTACCTGGCTGAATCGTGTGAATCTTGTTGTTATTCAAGAAAAGGATCTCTATTGAGTCAGGTATCGACCTTTCATCGACGTCTTCTAATACATTGTAGCTAACATCCAGCATTCGAATGTTTTGTTGCGTATTCTGTTCGTTTTCCAATTTTGTGATATTATTACTGTGAATATCCAGCCATTCAAGAGTTTCAGGCATGTAACTGTAGTCAAAGTAAATAAGTTTGTTGTCAGAAATATTAAGCCAACCAAGGGTATTCAATTTATTAAAAACACCTCGAATGTCGGTTAATCTGTTTCCATCTAATCGGATAGCTTTCAAAGTTGGATTTGACAAAAATGCGTCTTGCTCGATTGTTTCTATTCTATTCGATGCCAAATTGAGAACTTGCAATGATGGCAAAGTACTAAAAGTGTCTTTTGGCACGCTTACAATATGGTTGTCAACAAGGCGCAAGCCATAAAGTTCCTCTAAGCCCTCAAACGACGTGTTGCTAATTTTAACAATATTATTTTTGCCAATATCAAGTGATTTCAGGAACCTTAATTTCTTTATTGCTTCAGGGACAACTTTCAAATTATTTCCGTTCAAACCCAGATCTTGTAAGTAGGTTATGTTTTCGAAGCATCTTTCATGTATTGTTGTAATTTGATTGTTGTCCAAATAAAGCTGGCTTAGAACAAACAGGTTCGAAAAAATGTGCTCATTCAATGCTTTTATCTTGTTGTCGGATATAGAAAGTTGATGGAGATTCTTAAGTTCAGCAAAAGCACCGTTGCTGATCACCTCAATGGCATTGTTGTCTAAATTCAAAACTTGTAATGCATTCAAGTCTTGGAATGACTTAGGATCCAGACGAGCAAGCGCATTGTAAGATAAATTGAGAATTACCAAGCGAACAAGCCCGGCGAATGTATCTCTGTTAACCCAGTCGTTTGTAAGACTATTTCTCGATAAATCTAATTTCTCTAGCTGATCAAGTCCTTCCAGCAGTCCCGGAGCCAGCACGGACAACGAATTGTTCGCTAATGAGATTTCCTTAATAACTCTCGACGATTGAAATAGTTCCGGAGGGACAGCGACTAACTTATTTCCAGACAGGTTTAAGATTTTTAATGAATTCAAGCCGACAAAGGCTCTGTCGCCTATTTCATTAATTAAGTTGTTCTGAATATTCAAGACCTCTAAAGATCTCAGACTAGAAAGTCCGTTATCTGGCAATCGTAAAATGTTATTATGAGATAAGTCAAGCATTTTAAGTCCCGTGTTGCATGATTTACCTGGCGCTATTGGTCCTTTACCCCAGTCGGAGAAGCCAATCTCGGATATGTCTTGAATTCTATTGTTAGTAAGGTTCAGTGATTCTAAACTGAAGAGGGGACAGAACACTTCGGAGGGTAGCATATAGATGTTGTTGTCACCCAAATCCAATGTCCGAAGTTCCATCAAACCACGGAAACTCTCAGCGTGGAACTCCATTGTCATTGCAGGCCAATCTGTATTGTAGGATCGCAGCGTCAAACTTGTTAAATCACGAAGCGGGGACAGAACAGTCGCCGGCACGTAACGTATTTTGCAATATTCAATGCTCAGGTCCTCAAGTTTCCTTAGTTGGCCCAAGAAACTGCCGGTATTCATGTGAAGCGAGCTCTCGAAAAAGAGCAAGTCGGTGCATGTAAGTTTCAACTTGTTGATATTGTACGCCTGCGCGGTAGTAATGTTTTTAAACAAGAAGTCTGCTGAACCAATGGTTTTGATGTTACACGTGAGAAAGTTGGATTCACTCAACTTTGCGTCCGAATAGTCCCACTGACAGCCGGCGGGGGCGGGCGGCGCGGAGCGTGCGCGCGCAGCGGCCACCACAAGTAAGCACATCCAAACTTTTAACGAAACCATTCCGTAAAAGTTTCTGTTCATTTTGACACAATAACACAGTTCATTTGTCACTGATATCACTGTACGTAGTCCAAGAAACTTGTTAAACACTAGATAGTTTATCAAATAGAGTCAATGTTGTTGTGTGCACTTCGTTTTATAGCGAATGTAAACATGGAGTGCGGGCTCGCGGTAAAACTTTTGACGCAGCCATGCTCCCCTGCGGTCGGGCGGTAACTGACCTACGTAAGTTTGAACGAACGAAAGCATGGGTGGGGTGGGGGGGCCGGCGGGGGCTCTCACAATGACGGGTGGGTCCCCGCTGCATCTCACAACAGATGGCACGCGTGTTTTTTTGAAGATTCAAAAATATTGGTTCATGACGCGTAGAAGACTTATGGCTGCGTGATGCTTTGGTTGCACCTCCTTAGGTTACATCTCAAAGGAGGTCGGTGGGACATCTGAAACAGAAGCAATATGATCATGTGAGGCATTTATAAAGGTGCTAAGTATTTTTATTAATTTAACTGTTACGGGATTAAACATAAATAACGTCATATTTTATTTAGGTTGGTAAGTATAAAATCTATTGGAATTATTATGTCAATAGTTAAAGAAAGAAAGAAAATATTTTTATTTAGTTCTCTACTTTTTTAAATCAAAGTTAAAAGGGCAAGTGTAAACAGCATACTCGTTAAATTAAGAGCTGCAATGAGAGTATCTTAGTTAAATGCATAATTAAATTTAAAAGGGAACTTAGAATTACTATGCATTCAGACATAGAGTTTCAGATATGTTAGAACTTCAGTACTAAGTTTTTAATTTTTATACGTTGGCTCAAAAATATTAACTGAATGAAACAAGTAAAAGGCCAATATTTTTCATTGAATCCGATTGACGGAAGGGGCGGACACGTTGAATCAATGCAAAGATTTATGATTGACAGTTTGAAGAAATAAAAGAACATACTGACAATACTTATTATGTAGCGATTACTTCCCTTTTGTGTTATTAAGCGATTTAAGAACAGCTGTATTGTGGCTGTAATATAATATCGCGGTTAGTTTACAAGATTGAGATAATAATCCTTTACTTGTGCTAAGAAAATAATAGTTACTGGTTGTCAATGTGGTTATAATGAAATAATAATATTGTGTTAATAATTTTAAGATTGAGCTGCATAATGCAATGTTAATGTTCAAATAGGTAATAATAAGTACTTATAAAAAAGTTCTTAGAAAATTGTAGTAATTGATCTAGATTCTAGATCATAAAAATTAGAGACAATAAAAATAGGCCTATAATTAATTTTATCAAAACAAACTCGACAGCTTCACTAAAATTTAACTTACAAAATAACATTTTATAGGTAAGTTTTTCACTTAGTGACTAATAAAGAGATTGTCCATTTCCAACTTAATCTGAAGCTATCTTGTCCATCAAAATAACGTAGCTTACATTTCAGACAAGTATCGAGTTCATGGGAGACATTCTCTCAAATTCAAAGGCTAAATAAAACCTCCAAGAGCAAACTAGTTAGGGACAAAAACACGTTCATTGAAACTGCACAGTGGGCAGATGAGAAAGAGTTGGGCTAACAAATTTTTAATAGTAGCATTGGAGTTATGTTTTTTCGTTTTAGTCTATTTCCATGTCAGTTGCATTTGCAGTCCGTTTTCCTTTTAGTTTTAACTGTAAAGTTAAATAAAAATACTTCTAGCACAGACTGTAACACATTTTTAAGGCTTATTTTAAATCTCTCTAGAATATTAACGTTTCCAGTTAATGCAATATTAATGTAACGAAGAATTCCTTAGTTAAATACCTCCGCTCAATGAATATTAGATACTATAATATTATCTACTTCTCAGAACCAGCCCTTAATTTAATACCATATTTCAATACCATATTTATGTAACAAGATAGTTCTAACGTTATTCAGAGGATGTACAGTACATAATTGACATTCTATTTTCAAAGCTTACTCAAAATTTATATTAACAAATGATTTTTGAAAAATGCATACAAAAGCAAATCACGACTCACTGTCCATCACTGCCTCCGTGTTGTGCTCCGTGCGTCACCGCGAAGTCTAATCGCAAGACATCGGATGCCGGGACACGTGCGTGACAAATCGCGTCTACCGTGGGAGACGAGACGCCTTTCATAGTTCCGTCGTATACACTATCAATCTAAAGTGCACAGTGGGCAAGAATGAAACTGAGGTGCAGGGTAAAGAGGAATGTCATCTGAAGTTTATTTGTAATGAGGGCTGTCAACATGGCTAGAGTATCATCAAATGTCCATGACAGATAGTCAATTGTCAGCTATGTTTCAGCCCAGTGTGATGAATAGCTGCTACTTCAGTACTTAAAGACTTCAAATGTCGACATTAATTTGTAACTTACTTGATGAAATTGGTTCTACTAACACAAATCCTTAGCTACACAGAAAGTTAGTCCTAAAAAGGGATTTTTTATCAGTTAAAATGACATCTTCTAACTATGCAGTAATAACACTATGTCTTTAGGTCCTAACATCTTTTCATGTAACATTTTGGCACTATTTCAAACATAACGCGTTATTTATCTTCATTACATTGGCACGTAGTCGATACGCTGGCGCTGCTAGCCAGCGACCGAAAAGAAAGTTTAACACGAAATTCCTTAAACGATACTTTGAAATAAATCAGATCCTGAACCTAACGTTCAAATACAGTCAGAAAAAGCTAAAAGGAATACGATTGTGGGCGATATCGGATAGTAACGGAAGAAACAAATGAAGTCGTTCTCCGAAAAGGGGTCTCTCGAACCAAGGTCGAAATTTATCGGGTCCAACTATTGATATTCTCAGTCAATATTGAGAGTCAATATCTCACGTGCCCATGTCACGGTCCAATATTTGCTAGGCGACATCAAACACAATATTACCACTTATCTCGTAACAACTGACTCCGAAAACATCTTATACCGATTCTTCCCTTAGAAAGTTATATAACTAGAATAGAACATGTTGACATTGCCAGATATCGGTGAACTATGTTCAATATAACTTTTATGTGGAATAATGGCCGCCGTTATCTCTGAATATTTATGGCTTTTACAATCTATTACAGATTGCTTTTAAATGGGTACTTCAGATGAGGCCATGCGAGTTTTTTGAGAGAGTTGTTTAAATAATAAATTGTACTGTCACTTAATGAATGGATAAGGTTTTATTTGTAAACATATAAACTAAAGTGCAATTTACATAATTGATCAATGGTGAAATTAAGCAAAATAGTGTTATAAATAAATCAATTCAAAGCAGTAGTAACAAGGATGTTTAGAAAAAATATATTGACTACCTATTTAAAGGAAGTAGGGTATTTTATTGAAACGTTACTACGTAAAACTGAGAAACAGGACAAAAGGGATTGCAACCAAAAACGACTCCTGTGCGGTGTTTATTGAAAACGATTCTGTTAGCCATAACCGAAAACCTTTTACGTCCAATTCAAAGCCGTATTGGTGCAGTCTCCCGCATTCAAAAAGGACTAGAGAAAAACAAAGGGCTGCTCCATGGAAAGAAATTAACAATATACGGTCAGTTTCTCGCAAAAAAAACCCTTTTGAAAGTTACGGTGAACAATAAAACCAGCATTCGGGTCCGTCGCTTTTAGACAAAAGAATTGTACCGCAATTAAGCTATTGCCACCATAAAAATTCATTGAGACAATAGTTTTGGCTTTTACCATGCCAGTGAGTTTACGGCTGTCAACACACCGCACATTATTGTATTATTGCCTAAAATATTAGCCATCTATAAATCTTTCACACAAAATTGATCTTGTTTTGTCTTTCTATTGTTCTGTTGACTTTCTCGGTATTGGCCAAATAACAACCACATACTTTAAAGTCATGTTTGTAAAGTAGTAAGCAAAAACAATGACTCGAGTAAAAGCTTTGAAATGAAATGTATAGCCACAATCCATTTGTTTGGGCGTGAAGAAATCTTATTTATACTGATCGTTTCTTACTTCTTTATCATCAAAACCCATGTTCGAATAATGTCTTAAAAGCGTGATTGTGATTTGTAAAGTAAGACATCGCATCTCTTAGAATGGTGAATGTTGAACGAATAAAGGTGTTTTAAAGATAATCTGGACAAAATATAGCCGGAGTGCCGATAAAGGTGGTCTTAGTAAACAGGTAGACCCAAGGCACGTTTCAAGTCAAATAACCTGCAAGAAAGGGTCCGAAACAGAAAGCGCTCTGTGCTAAAAACGTCGACCCCTTATCTCCCTTAGATGGGTCGGGCCCATAGACACAAGAAGATAACATTATTGCCAATAAACATAATTGGAGGAGCAATAATCTTGAGAATGCGGTTTTTGCGGTCATAACATCAAATGGTCGGTTGTAAAAAAATTTGATAATTGCAGAATACGCAATCTAAGAGCGAACTTTCTTTTTCTTGGTCGTTAACGGGAATGACCCGCTCACCTAAAGTATCTATTTCTAGGGTAAGTGCAAAAAAAAATAATAGTTCCAAATCGAAGTCTAATTGTGGCGTCAATAAAACAAATTGCGCGTCAGACGCTAGTTTTAAAATCGTGCAAATGTCTGTGTTTTTTGCGTGGAATTAGCAAGCGTTTTGAATTTTAAAGGCGCATTTCCATACTCGTGCCCTGTCTCCCAGGTTCATGTCTATCTACAAGCTGCTTCCAGAGGCCCAGCACGAAGTCATCATTCATACGAGGAGATATCATCGTCGCTCGTCGTGGCCACGGCTTGCCTTGTTAACAATAAAAACGTTATCCGGCGCTTACACAAAATGTATCTCAGAAACTGTCCAGGCTAAGTTTATTTTAGTTGTTTTACATTCCCAAGGTTCGCGCACATTTAAATTTTGAACGGACAGTATGTTACACCTAATTGTGTCTTATCGGTATTACTACCTTTAGTGTTAGTTCGGTTTCATTATTTACTTTGAAAACTTTTGTTTTTTTTTTGTTTTTGAGTAATCTATTGCAAGTCAATAAAATAATTCTTAAGAACTTTTAACTGACACTTATATGTAGAGTGCTAGTACCACATTACTACCTACTATCTGAGTGCGATACAAAAAAAAATACCATTAATGTTCGTCTGGATAAAATTTTAAAATAAAATTAGGCTTCAAAGTAATTTGTTTAATTTATTGTTTTCATAATATTTTCTTCTTTACTGTTAGAACGCCCACTTTTTTAGGTCACAAAATTATTGTTTTCG